AGATAAGTCATGGATGTGCGATTTTGACCCAGAAGCAAAAACACAGTCATTGCAATGCAAACATCCCGAGTCTCCCAAGGTCCCAAAAGTGCTAAGTGGTGTAAAGGAAATTTAAAGTAATGCTGGTCAACTAAGCGTCCTTGGAGCGTTTCGTCTCTTCTTTCGAGAGGTTGCTAGATTTAAGTCAGTTTGCCGTGAATCGCATGTTGCAGGAGAGATATTCTGCTCTGAGTTTAATTTCATGCTTTGATGTTATTTTAATAAATATTCTGTGCCTTCTTAATTGCAAAGCCGTTACACAGACTTCAAAATTTTTATAAAAGTTGCTGTTTCAGATTTGAAAATTTCAAAACTTGAGTATTTCCATCGCGTAAAACATTTTTGTAACTTAAAATATCTGTCTATTACCAAGGATTACGAAACGAATGGCCTAATAGGGACTTTCGTGGACACGGTGTATAACTACATAATAGACGCTTCTTAGTGTGATCGTGGTTAACGTTATCGTTCGAATATCTTATCGAAGTCCCGGCCGTTTCTATACGGAAACATGAAAATTACCCACAATTCAGTTAATATTAAACAAAGTATTATCGAAGAAAAAAATTTTTTTGCTGAAGAAATGTCGCTAATTAAGATTCAGAGTCGCCAAATAAGGTCAAAATAGATTATAAAAATTTTCAAGTAGATACGAGAAAAATGTCACCAAGTCTAGGATTATGCAGACAAACACTTTGTTTTTAGTAAAAATAAAGCAGATAAGTAACCCGAGTTTGGCTTAGATTTTGAATAATTCCATCGTTTTCGGAGGTGATCAGATAATGGTCTCTCTTCTTGAAGGGAAAAAAAAAAAAAAAAAAAAAAAAAAACTTCTGCAGAATTTTCTTTCTTCTGCTTTCCTAAAAGAATTAAAATCATGTACGCCTAACTAAGGTTGCCTTTTGTTTCTTTCTCCCTCACTTTTATATTTACTTGTTCTCATAGTGAATGAGGGAATGCTCTACGAGCATTAAGATTATGAGTATAACATCAGCCAAAGAATTGCCAAAAATGTTTTGAACAGTTCGCACATGAACTATTGAGTCAAAGTTATTATGAATGTAACCGTTCCTTTATTAACACAAACGCTGGTTAGCTCTAATAGTATTTATTAACACAGCATAGAAATTGTTATAAAGAAAATATACACCAAAACAGAACATCTAATATTGAGAATTAACATTTGAGTCAGAGACATAATGTTGGAGAACCTTATCGCAGCTAAAGATTGACTGCCTTAAGTTGATTTCGTCGTCATTAGATGGCATTCGATAAAATAGTTCGATTACATCCAAAAAGTTATGTTATATTCTGCATCTCTGACTTCGTAGATGTATCGGCATGAAGTAAGGAAATGGCATTTGTTTACTTTGTGCAGTTGGTATAGAACAAGATGGCTCGAGTTTGATAGTATAGCTTTAGATTCAGAAGAATCTTTTGAAATGGATACAAAAGTTCGGTTAATATTACATGTTTTGGGCGTCACCTATCTTTCAAAGGAACCACTGGGGTTACACGACCTGAATTCTGAAACTTAATAATAAACTCTCTTAATAATGGTTTCAAGGCTTGATATTTTGCCGAGACTTTTGTCTGGCTCGTTGAGATCGGCAATATCAAAAGCCGTTGGAGATCTTGTATTCACTATCACATAGGGCAATAAAGTTCAATTGCCAACGCGTGTAATTGATAGTCAGATTATAGGATTGGATTTGTAAGGCCCATCTTGCGAGCCTCCAGTTGGTGACTTTAAAGACATTAGCCACTTCAATGGTTGGTGGTTAGAGATGATCGTGGTGCCTGTTACTATTGCTAGGGATTCTTTTTCTATGGTGGGGTATTTCGCTCTGAAGACGAGAACAAGCGGCTGACATATTCTATACTATGTTCTTCACTTTTCTAGTCCTAGAGCAACTCTGCTCCAATCTCTACATTGCTAGTATTTGTTCGAATGACAAAAGGCTTCACCTCATTATCTCGTTTAAGAATCGGGGGCTATTTAATTTTGATTTGAGCCCTTGGAAAGCATTTTATTGTTGTACTTCCCATTTTCACATTGCTTTGTTAATTGCTTTGTTTGTTTTCTTCTTTGTTAAATCAATCAGAGATTTGGTTGTTTGAGAGAAATTTAGAATGTATCGACGATACCCGGAGCAAGTTTGTAAGAAAGATTGCCGTTGCTTGACAAACTTTGGGGACGGCATATCTGCGATGGTAGATAAAGCCGTTTGCTTCTGTTACTGAGAATTGAAAATAATAAATTCTAATCAATAATATGAGTGAAACTATTCAAAATTTTATCACTAAAAGCTGCATTCAGTTTACTAATAGTAGCCATAACTGAATTTAGTATGCACATTAAACATTTTAAAATAACAAATTAATCAAAGTTTAAAAGTATCCTTCTTGTGAAAGAATGCTGTTGGCTTTCGGCTAATGCTTTTATGTAGTATCTATACATGTGATTTCAGTAAGGAATTTGCATTTACTTTCAGAATCAGTTTACCACAAATAATAATTTTAAACTCAAATTAAACAATAATTTAAAAGAAACTTATCTTTTCATTACTTTCAAAGTTGTTCGCTTTCCATTTAATGCACTAACAGTACGACAAATTATATTACGTCAACATATGACTTCCAAAATTATTTTTGGCAGGAGTCTGCGTCTGAAAAGAGATCGAGCCGATCTCCAGCAACCAAAACTTAAATTCGAGAGTAAGGGCTTTTTAAATCCAAGCAGAAATTCGCAACATTTCGTTGGGGCTATTTTGTTAAAAGAAATTCTACATATTTCGTTGGGCGCCATTTTGTAACCGTTCTTCTATAAAAGTAACGCTGCCTAGCTCTAAAAGTATTTATTAACAGAGCACAGAAACAGTTACAAAGAAAATATACATGAAAACATAACACTTAACAGAGGGATGGGCAAATGTTTTCGGTCGCGGGCCAAAAATCGAAAGAAAAAAGTTTGGTGGGCCAAGATAAGTTTTTCTAAAATTTTAAAAACAACATGCAAGTATTATAAAAACAATATACAAGTATTACAAGTTAAATATATTAATGAGATGAATGAAATTGCGATTTCATTTTTAAAAGTTCCTTATATTGAGGTTCGAAGTGAGATGTACTGATTCTAAGGAACGAGGCTATATGCTCATTTGCCAGTCTACTTCTTAAATAATTCGTTCTAAAGTTTATAGTTGAAAACACTTGTTCACATATATAAGATGAAGCAAACATAGCACTTATTTTCTGGGCGTGAGATATTAAATTTGAGAAACTTACTTTCGATAATGATTTGTAAAACTCAAACTTTGGCATATTTAGAAACAACTGCTTGACATGATTGTTAGATTACAAATCAATTAATTCAAGCTGCAAATATGACCTCACTGCTTCACAATTTACGTTGAAAGCCATGGAAAAAATATCCAGTTCTGTTTGAATGGCACTGAAATCTGCGTTCGAACTAAAAATGTAGTTTTTTCAAGCCATCTTTATAATTCTTAAGCTTCTCTTCATTTACTGAGGGTATTGAATTTAACTTCGGGAAATGAGACAAGTCGTTTCCAGCAAACAGATTAAGTTTTATTAAGTTTTAAGTTAAGATTTTTCTAAGAGGTATAATTCACCTATATTGGATTCCCATATACCTGCTCGAGAAAGAGATAACGCTTGTTGTCGAAAATCTACAGCTATAACTAACAAGGAACTTCCGCTTTTAACACTTTACCGATTAAAAGCTGTCTGTGCTTGCAATTTCCGTCGATTTATGTTTTGTAGAACAAAAATAGAGAAAGTAAAAAGATCATCAGTCCTTTGAAAAAAAGGAAGGAAAAAAAATTAAACAAAGTAGAAAAGGAGATGGATATATAAGTATATAGTTCTTTTAATTTGCCTCGGACCGGCAAATTAAAATTCTATCCGCGGGCCGGATAGAAACTTCCGGCGGGCCGAATTTGGCCGGCGGGCCGTAGTTGGCCCATCCCTGACCTAACATTTAGAATTAACGTTCGAGTCACGGAGACATAATATTGGAAAACCTATGATCATCGCAGGAGGTTGACTGTCGTAAGTTGATTTTGTCGCCACTAGATGGCGTTCGATGAAATAGTTCGGTTACATCTAAATAGTTTTGTTACATGAACAGTTAATAAGCAAATTCTGCATTTTACTAATTAAAATTCTGTGAAAATACTTATTTATATGTTTCATGTTTTATTTACATTAAATTAGTTAAGTTCTATTACTGTTATGAAGAATATTTTTTATCATCGTTTAAGTACCCCGCCAAAATAGCCTGAATAAAAGGCTTCTGATTTGGGTCCCGTAAAGAGTTTTTAAATTTTTTGGTATCTTAATATATGCAAGCGATATAAACGAGTGCCACGGCGTATGCACAAATCAGTAATTATATCTTGCACATAATTGCATTATAAAAATATACACATTCAAATTTGATGCGGAGTACAAATTTGATGCGGATACAATACGGAGTACAAAAGTTTGGTGTTATTGGGCCTATTTTTTATACTTTTACTTTTACTACTATTACTTTTACAAAAGTATATAATGTGTAGCAAATATTTTTATATTTATGATTAGATATTAAAGCTAGATGTAAATTTTGTCGAATTATATAAAAAGTTGATATTCACATAAAGTGTTTTTAGAATCGAATTTGAAATAGGGATATTTATAGTTATATTTCGGCTATTTTGTCATGGGCTATTTTCTCGTGGGCTATCTTGATGGGTAACACATTCTTTAATGTTATCAAAATAATCTTGGACAAACATGATCGCAATAAGCGGCGCTTATTGTTGCTATCAAGCAGAGCGTGGGACGCGTGAAAAGTGCCTTCAAATCATTAAAAAGAAAAAAGATTTTTTTTTTATCTTGTAACAGACGTGCAGGGTTAGCGGATTTCTACTCCATCCAAGGCCAGGCGAAAGCAAGCACGTAGAGGTAAGCTAGTTGAAATTTTCCTTCCGTAGATGTCGCTGCATGTATAATTACTCAATGCTGGGCTTTGAAAAAGTCAAACAGTGTTTCCAAAGCGATGAGTGGTGTTTATGAAGGAAAAGAGCGCCAAGCAGAAATGGGATTGTATTTAACGAAAATTATGTGATTGATAAAAACCCGTTAAGTAAGTGGAACGTAAAATTATCTTTTATATTTGCATATCATTTTAAGACTCATTTCATTAATGTTTACAACTGAGGCTGCTTAAACGTTGTTTTAAGGAGTCTTTAATCTTAGAATGGTAACGCTATTCAAGCTTATGTTAATGGTTAACTACTGGTAATTAATACTATACAGTAAATATATCTATGTTTCTTAAAAATTTCCTTTTAGTTTATACCAGGGGTTCTCAACCGAAGGGGGTTGATTTCATAGTTTACAGGGAGGGGGATGAGGTCAGCCTTTTATTTACCTGTTAAATATTTAGGTTTTGTTATTAGTATAAAAACTACTTTTGTTCAAGTTTTGGTATTTATCAACATTTTCTGAATTTTTTCTTGTTTAGTTTATAAAACGCATTAAAAAATAATCTAAATTTAAATAAATGTATACATATTTTTTGAGTTTTGGAGAGGAAGGAGGAGGGATACCGCATGTTTATACTTTTAGAAACAAAACGTAAGACAAATGAGTGTTTTTACATGCATTAACCTTAAATGCTAAAAAATAAAATAAATTTCAGAAAAACCAAGATGTATGTATTCTTATTACGTTTTCGTACATAATAAGTTTAGCCTTTGCCCCCCCTCCCCTCAAAGAAAATCAGGTGAAAAGAAGAAATATTTATGTAAAATTGATAAAACAACTGTATCTAGAGCCATCAAATTTTGAATTACGTAATCCTCCACCGAATATGGGCAGTTGGAAGCCCTAATTTGGAATTTGCTTTATTATTTATTTCATATTTTGTAAAACTTTAACGGATTTTTGATTAACCAACTCAACGATTTCAAGGCGAGCAATGGCAACACTCTACGAAACGGGGGGAAAAAAAAAAAAAAAAAAAAAAAAAAAAAAAAAAAAAAAAAAAAGATCTCCAGCGCGCGAGACTGTGTATCGGAAATTCTATAGATATGCTAATTAAAAAATTATATTGCGATATTGCTGTTGAACTGAATTTTATAGTTTAAGAGCGAAGAACATGATAGTTAATAAATAAAGGTTAACAAAACGTTAAAAAAACGCCGCGTAATGTAAAATCCGAAAAATTTAAATTATATTTTTTTAATTGTTATTTTAGCTATTTTAACTAGCCTTAGTAGTGACATCAGCATCTTTCAATATGGTTTCGAAAGCGAAAAGAAAAGAAAAAAGAAAAAGATGTGTATGGCGTTGTGGTAGGGTACGAACTGCGCCAAATTTGATCGAAGATACCCGTCCCCCTCTTATTTAACCCACGAACTGCGCGAGTTTTCCTGTCCCCTATTTCTTTCCGAAGAAGATTGGGTGCTACAAAAAGTCATTTATCGCCATTAATGGGACATTCTATTGAGACTGACCTTTATTTTCGTTTATCAATATTGTAAAAATTCTGCATGCAAAACAAATATTAATTTAAAGTCTGGCGTGTGCTAAAGTAAAAATAAATTTATTTTACACTAATTTTAAAGTTTTATGATGCTTAAAGGAATGATGAGCAGATCTTTTTTATTCTCTGTAAGAATTAAAAACTTTCCAAGTTGTAGATTTTAGTCGCTGATATATATATATCAGTTTTGAATAGTAAAATTGATAGATTCATGACATACACAAACTGATACATAATCAACCTATCAAATGTCAGATTTGTAGCGCACCTTAAATAAGTTTCTTATCTAGATAAATATTAACAAATCTTCTTAGATAGCAGAATGGTTTTAACTTTCATATTTACCATTTTAGGTAAACGGTTATAATTTAATTAAAAAAAAATTCTCTTTATTAAATCTAAAAATTGGACGTCTTAAGTCGTTCTAAATTCACTCTAATGTTATTGCAATATATTCCCGTATTAAGCTTTCCATTTTTAGTCATTGAAGTTATTTTAAGGTTATTTAAATCTGTCACAAATTCCATATTTTAATACTAGAAACGTTTAAATATTTATTCTGTTTTCCACCTGATGTACTTTGGCATACATTTAATTTCTAATACACATTTAATTAATAAATTAATAATTATGAGCATCAGCAGAATTTTCATAATTAACAAACAAAAAAAAAAAAAAAAAAAAAAAAAATCAAACTCCCTTATATTTATATCCTGGAATTTTCAGTTCCTTTTTAATCCATTCCTTTTCTCATATTGTTGCACTGTACTCAAGTTTTCATGTATGCAGAATTTATATACTACTTTGTATTGTATTAATGCGAATTTATATTTAAATAATAATTTTTTCAAATTCTTGCATCACAACTCTAGTTAATAGAAGATGTTTCTAACACCTTGGCAAAGCTTCAGCATGTAGCTTATTTTCTAATCTAGTTTCAGGCTGAATTATTTGTAAAATTAATTACTTGAAATTATTTGTTAACAATGATGGTTGCTAAATCACGCTAATAATATTTCTAACTGTTGTAATTTATGCAAGGAGTTCGTGTGATTTATAATATTATTCATGTATAATTTTTTCAGCAGTATTGAAATTAATAGCATATACTGATAATATTATACATTTAGATTACAGTGTTTTAGATTTCCATTGCTTTCTTCATTGATGCTTATATATGCTACATTCCTAATATTTCATAATGGCATACTTATTTGTATGGCATACTTATCTATGTTTAACTCATTCACCAAACATGTTAATCTATAATTCAGCCCACTTTTGTTTTTACATGTGCTGTATCTTCTCCTTTCTTTAATATATTGTTCAGCTTAATTTCGAAAGATCTTACGATCAAGCGAAAAAGTCACTAAACATTGGTAGTTCGATCCGAGTTTCTAATCCCAGAGATCCTCCAGCCTTTTTTTTTTTTTTTTTTTTGTTGTTGTACTTATTTACTGTGTAAAAATGTAGCATAAAAATTTCAGTTCATGAAGTAAAAATATTTTTTAAATTTATTCTTTAAAAATAATGCAAAAATTTTCACCTTTACCTTCGCATATCTTTTTTACAAATCCCTCTAATGAGAAAAAATAAGGAAAGAAATTAACTCGGTTTCGGTGATTGATACCTCGGTGGAAATTATATACAACATTTTTTCCAAAAGCATATAGTTTATATGGATGTCAATAAATTAAGGATTATTTGCATATAGTTTATATGGATGTCAATAAATTAAGGATTATTTGCATATAGTTTATATGGATGTCAATAAATTAAGGATTATTTCTCTATCTAATTTTCTTAACATGTTTATTCCAGAATTTTCTTTTCACACTGTAGCGCTTAACTTTATGAGTTTTCTATAACCATTCAATTTCTCTAGCCATGGCAAATTTGCATACCTTCTGAGAAGTAGTTATATTTTTAACCACTGTATTTTAATTCCTGTTGACTATCAGTACATTATTCACTTGTTTCACAAGTGCAACTTTTATTTTATACGCAAATCTACGTAAAATAGCATTAAAACTTCAGTTATGCTGAGCTCCTCATCGATTGCTTGTTTTAGATTGAATGAAATTAAGCTTAATGTTGCTGTTAATTAGCTTGTTATTAATTTAATTATATATTTCTAATTAATTACGTCAGTGTTCCAAATGCATAGTAATGTTGTTAAAATAGATTTCATGCTAAGCTTTTTTTTAAATTTAACTAAATTTAATTTCTGTAAACATTTACATGATTACTTTAATTAAGAAAGATATTTTTACCACACTTTAACACACTTTGATATGAAATAATTTTTTGCACGTTAGTGAACTCTATTAAATTTTCCAGTCTAGTTCAGACATCTTGACTATTATTGATGTAATTTATTAAAAATATAATTTCTATGCTTTATAATTATTTAATTTATGATATTATTATAATAAATGGAAGATGTTTGTAATGCTAATATGTATGTTTACCTTTATTTTCTTTGTTACCTTTTATTGTTAGCTCTCGCATTTATTACTGTTATTCAACTACTAATTAGCCTGCTTGTTAGATAGTTTTTTACTTGGTCTTGTGATATGTAATTCTATTTATTTATTTTTATTTTCCTCTTGGCTACAATTGGCTTCGAAAAGTTAAATTTTAACCCTGTAGGCAGCAGGGGGAAGAAATTCTGATCGGCGCAGTTGGACTATACCAGGACGAGGGGGGGATTTTCATTAGCGCAGTTGGAGTACACCCGGCGTGGTGATGTAACTGCAGTAGGCGGTGATTGGTCATTTTAATTTTAAATTATTATTCGATGCTGTAGAGAATCGGGGGCTCACTAGACATATGTAATACACTGGGAGCCAAGAGGTTAAGAAAAACCAATCCGTATCTACGTTACACATTGTGGAAGTAAAGCAAAAACATAACCAAAAAACATGCATGCACCCGGTCCATTCGCTGGAATTTGTGCCCGAAGCGAATAACCCAGTGTTCAAGGTCTTAATTATTCGTCAACTGGTAGAGAACATACTGCAAATAAGGGAAGAATACGTACTGTAAATAAGGAAATAACTTATAGTAAATAAGTTAGGGAATAAGTAAAGGAATAATAATATAATTAGAAATGGAACAAAAAATAAGTTGTAAATGACTGAAGAAACTAAGATTCTATATAGGCAATAGAGATAACGTGTAGAGATAACATAATAGGCTGTATATATGATTTATTTTTAGGACTATCAGTTTGCGCTACCAGCGGCCTAAAATAATTATTATGAGAAAGAAATATATATATTTTCTAAAGAATTCAAATTCCTAAAGAGCCTTTCTGATAAGGATTTCAGTTAATTTGAATACACGTACAGGTATACTGATGACATTATTACTTTCAATAATTATAATTTCATCGAAAACGGCAACATCTACCCAAACTGTCTAAAAGACCAATAAAACCAAACAGAAATAGTTTATCTTGATCTAAGTATTCATAATCTTAAAGAAATTAAGCTTTTTGATAAAAGAAAAAAGTTGTTTTCCTACTATTAAACTTATAAATTGGAACTCAAACATATCTAAAAAAGTTATTACAAATACTATTATTATTGAGATTAGCAGAACTAAAAATGTTTACACTGAAATAGAAACACAAAAAGAAGAAATTCTAATTGTTACCGAAATTTTAAAGGAAAATGAAGTTGCTACAAAATTCATTAATAGTATTTTAAAAAAATCTAGAGTTGTTTACACCCTATAGTACTTTTTAAAAGTGTAAATTATTTATCTGAAATTTCCAAACGAGAAGGATAAAGAAGGATGTTTTAAAGGGCTTATGTGTTTTTATTGATTTATTTTTCCTCTTAATTACTATTCTGTTATTAAAACAAGGGCCTGCTATTTTCAAAGTCGTCATGATAAGCCAATGACATGAAGACATTTACTTTTCTAACAATAGTTCCTTTACTTCCTTTTTCAAGCTTTCTTTGGTCTTTTTCTGTAATTTTAAATGAAAAAAATTTTAAAATCTAAAATTCAACTCTATGGATTTTTCTACTCATATCTACAAAACAATTATTAAAAACTTTTTGACCACTTTTTTAGCACTCTTTTTGAGTCTGTTAATTTTAAAGAATAATTTATCCTAAAATTTAATTAAAGTTTTACACTGAATGACATTCTTTATTCCTTTTTTGTTATGGAATTATTTCGAAGGTATCATCTGTTGAGTGTTACTTCTGTCTTATCAAAAACATTTTTCTTCCCAATTTTGTTTTGTCATTTTCATTTTATTTATTTCTTTGGGGTCATTCGGTTTGATTACATTTTACGATTTATTTTACTTTTTGTAGGATAAGAAAAGTTTTAATAACGAGGTACTAAAAAAAATTGCAGTAAAATTTGTTTAAAATTTCTTTAATTGTAACTTATGAATAGGACTTAGATCTAAAAGTATTATCACAAAAGCAGAAAATTTAACTCAAGATTGTATACGTAACTGAGATTTATAGCTAATTTCAGCAAAATATGTCACTAATTTGTTTCAACATGACAAAGCACACGAACTGCCTATACAACTTAAGGTGCATCTGGTTTTTTAATTACAAAATTGTATTTCAGATTAAAGTACAAATTGTAACCATCCGTCTAATTATAGATTGAATATTGAAAATAATTAAGGTCAAAATTATAGTTTTGGATATGGTTTTTTTAAACATTAAAATTTTATCTTTCAATTTATATTTTACAGTTAAATAAGGTATAAAGTTTAGAAAAGTACTAACAAGGAAAGGCATTCTACTTCTAACTCTCAGGTTTTCTGGGGAAAAAAAAGTATGAATTTGCTCATGTAGAGGTAACATAATACTAAAGGAATTAGTTGCTAATATTATGTAGATGAACGGTTGAAAAATTGTAAAATATAACGATATTTAGTGCGATACAGATAATACGTTCTGTACGTTGTTGTAAGTATTTTTTTATTTATATACTGTTTTTAAGTATATAATTTTTGAGGGCTTTTTTTTAATACTTAAATGTAATTTGTGGTCAATGACTTTAAGTGAAGTGCTTTTTATTTGTTAAACAGAATTGCAGATTTTGAAACTGAGTGCAACAACATTGGAATTGTAAACATAGCTTAATTAGAACGGTGATGTCAGTTGCTTTGCTGACGGACCTTGGCGACCATTTTTTCGTCAAGTGGGTAACATTTGGGCGTTTGCGGAAACCTTACAAGCGATTCTTGCAGGCGTTTCCAGAGCCCATGCTACAGGGTACAAATACGAGTCGGAGACCAAACGCTTTCTAGCTTATCTTTAAAGTTTTATAAATTCTCGCTATCCCTAAACTTTCGAGAGCCAAAACTAAACTTTCCCTAAACTTTGGCTCCTTCTATTGAGCATCAAGTTTACTACTTATGCAATTTTCCTATTTCTGCTTGCTTTTATGTGATTCTGATGAGGAGGTATATGGTTTTGAACCATAGGCACTCCGCAATTTTTAATCATTGGTATTGGCGCTTTCTAGCTATTCAACTGATGAATTTTTAAAACATACTTACACATACGGTGCAATTTTTAAAAGACATACGGAGCAAAGGGAGCTTCCTCCCGTTACTCTTCAACTTATTTCTATAATCAGGTCAAGCTGAGAAATTTAACAAGAGGGCCCCATATTTCGGTAGAGTGCTTTCTATCTTCAATGGACTCTATTTTTTTCACTGAGACAGTGTCTCATTCCTTACTCCCCAAATTATTTTTATTATTACCACTCTGATGTTCACTCATTTCGATACCAAAAAGGAATTTTGCATCCCAAGGCCGGCAAAAAGATCACCCTTAGGTTACTGGGAAGCATTTAGCGCGGTAGAAGACAGTAAGTAGCAGTAGCGCAGTGGCAGTAGAAACCTAGTATAAACCACCTATATGGGGGGGGGAGTATCAAGGGGTATGAAGCTGAGAAATTTGGCTTTTAACTGAATGACGAGTTAGGGTTTACTCCGAGAGCGGTTTCAGGCATTTTATGATAATATTTGGTAAGCTAAGGGGGAACTCCTTAATATCAGCATTCTTCTTGAGTTATTTCTAGTTACTTATTGTGCTTTGTGTGCTATTTAATGTGCTAATTTTCATAATAAACTATTCATTTCTTCCTGCTTATCTGGATTTAGTATTTAAAGAATTTAGTGTTATATGATCCCATAGGTCACAGTAAACGTTGACTGATGATTGAATGTACAACGCAGATAAAAGTATTAAAATTACTAAAGCAGTGATATTAAAAATGATTCAAGTGATAATCTAACTATTACAGTTACAGTTAGCGAAATAGATCGATTGCATAACTAATCGACTCTCTTACTGTTGTGCATCGTTGAAAATTCAGTCGTTTGGTAAGTGTTTTATGACCTATCTGTGCAAAGTTTGGTCGTTATCCAATCATTCTTTCTTGGAACGGCGATTTGTTTTCTATCATTCAGTATAATCGGGAAAATAATAATTTAATATATTATGGAGTCGTTAGGTTTTTCTGAAGCAGGAAACTGAAGAAATCCGCAAAGCCCTTCCCGGGATTCGAACTCACTACCTCCGAGTTACGCGTCAGACGTGTTTCCAGATACATCGTAAAGGCACGTGAAAAGAACGGAGGAAATAGCTTATATACTCCTCCTTTCAATGAGGGGACCCAACTGCCAGATCCTGGTGGTGACAAATTATCGTCCACCAACTTTTAGCTCGAGCGCCAATTATAGAGTTTTTTAATAATTTTTGGATGTCAGGCAAGTGAAGAAATCCGCAATGCCGTCACTGAGATTAGTATTCCGGACTTTCCGGTTACATATGGAATGGGCTTCGAGTTGCACTAGTAAGGCATGCCGTAAGGAGAAAGAAAATAACCTAATAATATTGTGGTCTGGTGCTTGCTAGGAGTTCAAACCGACCTTATACTATTTCTTTTGAAGGTGAAGACATCTTTAATATGCTGCGCATGGTTCTGAAATTACTAGTAAAATTATAATGTAAGGCTTCGTAATTTTTTGATTTGCTGAAAGTTCTGTAAGCAAGTTAAACAATTAGGTGATAATTCTGGAAATAATCAGGTGGTTGGTTTCATTTTTGAAGTAAGAACAGTTTTAATGAAAGGAAAAGTAATTAACCAAAAACATATTAAGTTAATATAAAATTGCTTGTATTTTGTATATTTAAAATTACGGAGTAAAATTCGCAATGAAAGGTTTTTGTCATATTTCCTTTCGCAGGAAATCTGTTTTCGCAGAAGATCTGTTTTCCTTATTTTACTATATTATCTTTTTACTGTATTTTAGAAAACTTACTTTTTTTGGTGGGGAAACGTTATTCGCTGTTTACATTTGTAATCAACTCTAACTTTGTTACTATATCTGCTTTAATAAAGGGATATCTCGCATTTCAGTATTATTTTATCGCGGATCCGACTTCAAAAATCAGTGATGAGATTCAGTCGGTTCCTAAAATACTTTCAGTTCGGTGAATGGGTAATTAAAATTAAATTTTAACATTTTTAAAGCAATTTATCGCTGCTTTGTAAGCAATAATATCATTTATTTGGGCAAAGAAGTACAAAGCTTTTGATCCCAACCCTGGGTAAATTCATTATTGTTCGGTAAATCTAAACTGATATGTGCTATCACTAATAACCTCTTCTCTAAGATCAGCATGGCTAAAATCGTCTAGAACTGCGTGTGATCGTCTTAAGACTTAATGAATTAATGATAAACGGTATACATTTTATATTTAACGTATTTTTGATCAATCTCAAATTTATTTTCTTAATTTTTAACATTATGTATTTGATGCAGTCTCTCTTTCTTTATCTATATGATTAAAGAAGTGAATATTTTTAAAACTTCGGAAATTGTTAAACTATTAGTTATATTTCCTAAGGTAAAGAAATGAATATTAATTTATTTTTACAGAGCTCAATAAGGAAGATGCAGAAATACAAAATGCTGAAGAAGATCCTTTTAGAAAACTGGCATCCGAATGTCTTTGAGAAAAATAGCAGTATCCGAGTTGCTTCATCAATAACTGCAGGTACTAGAATTGGCAGAGATTCTCATTGGGAAGAAGCAAAACCGTTTGAGGAAATACCTCATCTAACCATGCTTCCATTTATAGGAACTGCTTGGGCTTTTCTGCCTATAATAGGTAAGTATTCTTAAAATTAATTTCATGTTCAATAAAAATGCGAGGATTTTGAATAAATAATTAAGTTCCGTTCAACTTAAAAAATAAGTAACATTTTAACTAATAATAATAAAACTCAAATTCTATAGTGATTAGTATTAAAGCATTAAAATTAGTTAAAACATTTAAACCAACAAAATTAAAATTAGTTAAAACATTTAAATAACTTTTGCATTTACATAGAAATCCTTTAGCCAACAGAAGACATGTACCAAAATCGCGTGTGATATGCATAGTGTGTTCACGGAAGTTTTTACCTAGCCTTTATTTTCGCAATCGTTGGTAGTGGACATATATTTCCAGCTTTAAAAATGTTTTGAATGACGCAAAGAATCATATTTTGCTATTTTTACATTTCAAGACGTCAATTTTGTAAAAATTACAAAATCTAACTTTTTATACGTTCCTCCAGTCCCTATATTTACATTTACTAAGATGTTATACTCCTTATCTATATAAATAAAGAAGAGTGTCCCGTGTGTTTGTAATTCGTACAAGTCTAAATTTTTATTCTGATCTTGACAAAATCTGGCACACTTTACTTTCAACGTAGAGGAAGACCACTGTCCACTAAGATTTCAAGAAGCCACCCCACGAGGTCCAAATTCTTTATATACATATATATATATATATTATACGAATTTAATGAACTGTTAATTAAACCTTCGGCAGTTTAAAAGCTTTGTATTGACTCTTTCTACGAAACGTAAGATATTATGCTTCAAATTTGACCAAGAAACTCAGCAATATAAAAGAAGTGTGCTGCCACTCGGCAAAACGCAATATGTTTGCCTTTCAAATTTTTTAGTTAACTCAGCCATTCTTTAAGTAAACTTGGCCACTCCTAAGGCCAGAAGTGGTGGCCATTTTATTATGGAGGCACCTAATAGGGGTCCACCGTTGTCTGCTATGAAGGGATGGACAGTTACAGCCATGCTTTCTCCGGGATTGGGATTTGAATCCGGGATTTTCTCTAGAGCAGTACACTCCTCTAACCACTATACCGTCAGGGTGGCTAAATGCATGTTGCATGAGATACAACTTTCTTAATGCAGTCATCTCTAATAAATTTTTATCTTATTAGGTCGATACAAAATGGATAAACTTCATCTAGCTCTCCGCCATAAAAGGCAAATTCTTGGAGATGTCATAAGAGATAAGTTTGGCTCTTTCAACGGGGTGATATCTTTTTGCCCTGAAGATTTGGAAACTCTTTTCAAATACGAAGGTCCTTATCCAAACAGAAGTGAAATTTTCTCCATGAAAGCGTATAGAGAATCTAGGAAGGAATGGTACAAGACTACTGGTCTCATGATTTTGTAAGTTTCTTTTAAATATCATATTATAAGTTTTAATTTCGTTTCTATTTTGATTCATGACATTTAGTAAGAACGTCCTAAAAAGCTATAAATTTTTCTTTTTAATAAAAGTAATATCGACTATGGATCAAACTGAGTAGTGGCCAATAAATTCTTTTAAATGTATTATTATCTGTTCCAGCACTTTTAAAAATAAATAGCCTTGACTTTAGATTGCTAATATCATCGAAATATATTCCAATTATTGTTGCCATATCTTCAGAGCAGAAAATTTATTTACTTTGTAAAGAATATGCCTTTTACTAAATGTAACTTGTGGCAAATCCTCAATAAACAGTGTAAACGACTTATCGCTATGTCTAAAATGAAGGGGAAAAAATTAGAAGGATGTAGACCTTTTTTTTTTTTTTTTTTTCAAACTAAGTTAGAAGTCACACCTACTGTTTAAAAATCAACCAATAATTATGGCAAGAACTCAAAGTAGAAATTTTAAAACTAAATCTAAGTATCAATTAGCCAAAAGCTACGCAGAGTAATTTAAACGCGAAAGTTGGCTCTTAAGCTATCGCAAGTACAAAGCAACGGCGAAGAGAGGAACTTACTTTATAATCGCAGACTAGTAACGTAGCATTAGCAGGTAGAACACACACTCTCTAAACAAGGAACTGTTACCTTAGAACAGCAGACAAGTATCGTAGACTTCAGCAGGCAGAACACACACTCTCTAAACAATCTCAAAACTTCACTTAAGTTAGGCGCGAGCTAATTTGCATTCTTAAAGAAGAACGAGAAGAGAGAAGTGACAGTACAGGTTATGAACGTAATTAGCATAAATAAACCTCACAGTTTACCTGGCAGATATAGTGTTACGAATTTGGTATTTAAAAAGCTAATGTTAGTTCAATTATAAATTAAATGGTTTTATTTCTCGCGCAGAGCAGCACGTGACGAATATTAAAAGAAAGCTAAGCCGGAAAATTGAAAATACAAGAGCGCGTGCATTAAATAAATAAACATCTCTTTTTGATTTCGAGAAAGTACTGGAAAATTCTAGCGCGTGATTTTAAAATATTATAAAAGGAGGAAAACATCTCAGTTCGTAGCAGTTGCTTAGTTTGTTGTTGTTTAGAAAACTACTGTTATTGATTGTAGCGAATTCGCGTATTAGCTTTCTTTAGCTGTTTTGAATTACGTTCTATTGGACATTTGAGTAGTTAAAAGATAACTACTGTGAGATATCGTAATACTGCATGATAATTTGAGAAAATTTAAGCATTTTTGTTGTGATAATAATAAATTTTTGTTCATTTTTCATCGGACTTGTGCATTCATTTCGTAACGAACCCGTACGCACGCAACAATTTTTGGTGTCAGGAGTGGGGTTCGAATGCCAATAACAAGAGCGATGGAAGAACAATTGAGACAGCTCATTAGTGCTTTTGCTGCATTCCAAGAAAAGATGGAAGCTGGCCAAGCATCATTTAAAGAAGAGATGAAAGACTTTGTTAAAGCAGAGATTAGATCCGTTAAAGCAGAAATGAAATTGTGCCAGGAATCCGTTAAGGAAGAAATGAAATTGTGCCAGGAATCCGTTAAGGAAGAAATGAAATTGGGCCAGGAATCCGTTAAGGACGAAATGAAAGCCGTTCAAGCTGGTCAAGAAGAAATGAAAAGAGAAATTACTTGCATAATAGAAAATAAATTTGAAGCTATGGAAGGCAGAATTGACGCAGTTGAAAATAAAGTTGGACATATTGAAAGAAAGAGTTTCTTCGGTAAAGAAGAAATAGAAGAAAGAGTTTCTTCTGTAAAAGAACATATAGAAGGGAGAGTTTCTGCTGTGGAGGAACGAATTGAAGGAAGAGTTTGTGCCGTTCAACACCAAATCGAACAACAAATTGATGAGAGAGAGTTTCTGCAGTTGCCAAAGAAATGGATACTTTAAAGAAATTCGTAGCGTCGGCAGGGAGCAGGAGTGATGATTTTAAATTCTTACCAATGCCTGCTCGTCCACCTCTGAAGCTATCCACATATGATGGGAAGACCTCCTGGGCAGGTGTATAAGACACAATTTTCTATCGTGGCGGATGCGAATGGATGGGATTCCCAAGCTAAGGCCTGTCATCTCGCCGCTTCTCTAAGAGCCGACGCAGCGGATATCCTTCAGACTCTTCCCGAAAACAAAAGGCTAGATTTCGAAGCTCTGTCCGGCGCCTTGGAGTTGCGCTTTGGGGAGAAGTGTTTAAAAGACTACAGCAGGCTCCAATTAAAATCTCGTCAACAGAAGCCTACCGAAACACTTCAGGAAGAAGGAGGTCGCCGCGGATGTTGAAAGGCTGTCCCATCTCGCTTTTTCGGAATGCCCGACAGAAACAAGGGAAATCCTGTCCTTGCAATACTTTATCGACGGCATCCGAGATACTGAAATACAGAAAGCTCTACGAATGGCGGATGTAAAAGATTTAAAAAGTGCTCTAGTGTATGCCATGAAATTTGAGGCAGCCCAGCAAGCCACTCGTCGAGACCGCCACCCAGTCAGAACTGCTCAAGTCCAGGAGCCAGGGGATCAAGTCACCGCTCGACTTGACGATTTAACTAGACAACTGAACGCCTTGAGACGGAATATTGGTGAGAAGAAACCGACCGTTAAGTGCTGGAACTGTGGAGCTGAAGGCCACGTACGAAAGAATTGCAGAACACCCCAGGGTACGAAAATTGAGACCATTTCTCAGCAACGACGCAGGAAACAAATTAATGACCATATCAAGGAACGGAGGTTGCCAGATAATGAAAAACCCTGTTTTAAAGCGCTTAAGATCTCTATAGTGAGTGGCAACAATAACGGACTGTCCATCAATGGAAATATCGATGGAGTTCCTTGCAAAATGATCATTGTCACAGGAGCTAATGTTACCATCATTAGGAAAGATTTAGCTGAACAGTTAAAGATAAACTTATTTGGACGCCATCCTGTGTTACCCTTCAGACTGCGTCTGGTGACAAGATCGACATAACTGGGAAGTTAAACGTAAACATCACGTTTGGAAGTGCCGCCTACCATCACACGGCATATGTGGCGGATATTACAGATCCATGCATACTCGGATTGGACTTTTTAAGGAAATACAATTTTTCCTTAGATTTCAAAAACAATAAGCTGCTTTCAGCATCTGATGGTATGACTATCCATCCTCAAAAGGGATCCTCGCCTGGAAATGTCGACTCCACTTGGTACCCTGGTTGGTCTGAAACCTGTAGCTGTTTTTCACAATTAAAATCTTTTATGGACGCTGATGGTACCGACACTTTGAAGCACTTCTCAGGACACACACATACACACTTTCAGACACTGATGGTCCCACACTTGAACATGATACTGTAGGTCTTCGAACAATGACTGTCCGGCAAAATTTGACGTAAGCTGAATTGAGCTTGAGGTGATTTCGGAACCTGACGGTCCTCTACTTTTCATTAAAACTTTTACGGACACTGGCGGTCGCACAAAACTTGGCGATGTTGAAGACCTAGCCTGAAAAACGTGAGATGAGCAGAATTTCTGATAGTCTTCCTCACTTCGCGAAAACATTTATGGAAACTGGCGGTCGCAGAAAACTTAAAGATGCTGAAGATCTGTCTCGCAAAATTTGAGATGAACGGAAATTCGGAACTTGACGCTTCATTCTTTACCCGGACTGACTGCCGCAATCTTTTTAGAGTGAAACACAAGACTTCTTTTTGATTGCCAAAGTAAAACTGTTTCGTGGATTTCATATCGTAGCGCTGCCACCAATAAATTTAAGCACTGCGATCCATAAATTTAAGCTGTATGTAGGAACCTGACGGTCATAAAATTTAAGCAGATTTTTGGAGCCTGACGGTCCTAATAAATTTAAGCTGTATTTAGGAGCCTGACAATCCTTTTCAGTCGAATTAACGTCCGCATTCTGCTTCCGTGGGTTTCATATTCCATCGCTGCCAGCAATAAATGTGAGTTGTAACGTCACCGAACTTTCGTGATGGAAAAACTCAGAACAGTTGTCTATTTTTAATAGTTATTTTAAAACATAACACAGGCATTCTTTATTTATTAAAAAATAGCATTACAGCATTATTACAAATGGGGAAACACAGCAGTTTTCCCGACTTGTAATGCGTCTTACTACCTCGAAATTTCTCAGACGAAAATCTAACGTTTTTGTCCGTCTTACCTGACTCGTAATGGATATCCCGCCAAGGGGTAGTCTTTAACGAGTCTTTCCTTGATCACATTCACTGGCGTCCATCGCGGCGGACACTCTGTTCGTTTCCTGGAGAAACAGGAAGTTTTTTAATATAAACTTGATGTTTGTCACAGAGGCTTAATGCAATGCATAATAATCGTTGTGACAGTTAACCTTTCGCTCTTCAAGCATTCCTAAAATAGTTCTTATGTAATATGGCTTGTCATGAGCATAAATATCACTCGGTAAGTCTAGACAGTTCTTCCACGAAACTTAGGACTGAAATTGTCTCAATCTAACCTTTAAATTGCTTTGATAATTACTAAATTATCTAATTTTTTCTTTTTGAAATTTATGCTTCTATCGGCTTCACACATTCAAACATTACAGATTCAAAAACTAAAAAACAAAAAAATAAAGATTTGATTTAAATGACAGGCAATAACTGGAACTGTCATTATATGTCATGAAGTTTGGGGTTTGATTTATAATGCAAAGGAAAATCGACAACCATTTGTCTGATTTGGTAAAATTTTACACATTCTTATTTATTTGCTCGAACGTTGTTTGTAGACTATGTGGTGATCCTTTTAACTAGCAGGAAATAATTCACAAGAATATTTTGCCTAAAGAGGAAGATAATAAGAAGAATCAATGGACCCGATTTCTAAAACGAATTCATCTCGATAGTCCAGAAAAGGTTCCATTAGTTAACGGATTATAGTTACTCTTAAGCATAATACACTTTTCGCGAGGCTTTCAGTTTCAAAGGAAAATATTATTTTTATTTATTATCTGATTACTTGCCAGATTTGGTATCTTGCGCCTTAAAGTGAAATCAAATCCTGAAGGTTTAGTTTGGTTTCGTTTATATGATTTATGGCAAAGAGCGGTAGGGCCTAAACTTTGAAGGACTTAACTTCAATACATTTCAGATATTCAGAAAATCACAGCAAGCAAAGAAAAGAGCATTCCAACATTTCGGCTTCTATAATACAAATACATCAGTCAATTTTACAATGGAATCTATGGTTTTAAATAAACATATAATTTAAAACTAAACATTTAATTTAGAACTGTAATACAATAATATATGGAAGAATAATACTAAATAATAACATTGCATTAATGTTACTGCTGCTCATGCAGCAGTAACGTTAGGAATAACAATTTCGCATTTACCAACAACTTCCATATTCACTACGAGATGATGTCATGAGGCTGCGGCACGAATGAGCGAGCTAAGGTAACATCCCATGTAATAGTGATCTTCCATGGGGTGTTAAGTAAGGTTGCTCCACAATTTCCTTGCTTTCATGTTACATGGAGTAATTTGGCTTATAGAAACATACAGGAGTTTTGCAAGAGCCCGCTAATTAAAAACTGAATAACTTTTGAATGGAAAATATTTTTATTTCAAATTTTCAGCATTTACTCTGACACTGCAAAACGAAGACATTGAGGACACAAGTTTTAGCTCGAAGGTTTCGATAACTACTTGAGTTGGTCTAGAAAAAGGACTCTTTTTTTTTTTATAACGTTGCTTTCAGTTTTTATGACTTTTGATCGATCAAAGTTTCTAAATGTTTCATTTTTATAATAGCTTTATGAGAAGTTGACCGGCGATAAGTTAAGGTTATGGAGGGGAAAGGGGGAAGCAAGCACATCCTTTATCAAAGCAAGCGTCTTTGCACAGCTGCCGTAGTTACTCCTGAGCAAATCTAGGACCTGAAATTTAAGACAGACGTCGCGTATTGGCAGGAGTTCTATCTTGCTGAAATCGTTTGTCTTGTATCCAATGATCGTGGCAGGCGTCAGGAATGAACCTCGTTCATTACAACTCGATATCTAGCATTCTGAATTCACTCTCTTGTCAATATATTACGGACCCAAACTGCCATGAGCATATAAATGACGCAAAACCGTAATCTTTTGTGAATAAAAAGGTTTGGCGATGATCATTTTAAGGCTTTTTTTTTATCAAATTCTGACAATTTTGGTGACTGACGTTAAAATTTGTCTGTTTTAAATACTGACTTTTGGCCATACAACCAGAAGTGTGCTTCATTGAAAGAAACAATATTGCCAGCCTTGAACCAATATTTATCATTTGGCACGTGATGTTGGTGAAATCTAGTTTCTTTTTAACTGCATCCGTCCCGAGAGGCTATCCTAACGGTATTTTTTAAGGGAAACCGTCAATATCTTCGCGAGTTCTTTTCCATGTGTGGCTGAGTTAATTTTAGGTTGTTGAGTCAAGTATCAAATTGATGTTGATGGTTTTTCCTCCATTACTGGTTTGGAAGTTTTCATGATTTCAGGCACCCTTAATGTTTTTTGGTTGGTCTGTGTGCCCTCTTTGCCATTAGTCTGAGAAGGTTTTCTTTCAGAATTGTCAATTAATGCACGCCGTGTGTCTGGGGATGGCTTTGCTTTATGAGTAAAGGTGCTAGACCGTTTCACAGGTATTTTAGCAAGTCTCCGGTATCAAAAATAAAAATGTTTTTATTTAAATATGGGCCTATTTTAGAGCATATTAATTTCGAACAAAAATAACCTCACTCCGTAAATAAGTTTCGTTTGGTTTCCTCTGCAAACTCACAAAATTTGGTTAGGTTAACGAGTTATCATTTAAGACCCACTAAAACACTCTGTTCATAATTGCAGGGATTATATTACTTTCGTTTCAAGTTAGCTACATAAGAATTAATTTTAGTATCAGAAGAAACTCAAATATAAAAATATGCTTTGTAAATGATAATAAAGTATGTTTCGCTTCCAGTTTTTGATCTCGTCACTTTTAAAATCAGGTTTATTCAGAATCGGAACAAGTTATAAAATTAAAAAGATTAACATGCAGTTCTTTCAGTTCTTTTACTTTTATTTCTTTTACAGACGTCACATACAGTCGGGTTTCTTCTGTACAATTTGGCTAAGAATCCAGATAAACAGCAGATTCTGTTTGAAGAAATTTCTAAATTGCTTCCATCGAAGGATCTCAAGATAACGCAAAATGTTTTCAATGAATTAAAATACTTAAAATCGTGCATGAAGGAATCACAGAGGTTTGTATCTTTTTTAATTTTTTTTAAGAGATGTGAGTTTAAATACATAAATTATTTTTAAGTGTTGCATTATACTAATAATACCTGTTGAAATCTAAAGTTATAAAGTATTACATTTGTGTAACTTCATATTTTTTTAAAATTTATTTCTTCAAAAATTATGAGAGTATTTAGCAATTATATTTTTATCATGTAAAAATGTTATTTCTTTCATAACTATAAAATTATGCTTTTAGCAATTGGCACCAACCTAGAGTTTGTATTGCGTAAGTTTGTTTTTAATATAAACATAAGTTTAGTCTTGTCATTTACGTAGTGTGAATGTTTACAGTTTAATTTATTCTTGATGGATATTCTGAAGACTTCATCTTACGCGGATGTACAGGTTATTCGAAAAGGTGGCTGCGGATTTTATATTTTTAAATATTGACACTGGGCATATAATTCTAAGGATGAAGTTTCTTCATATGCAGTTGAGAATCTATGAAAATATTTCCAAAAGTATGTATTACAGACTTCTTTAAAATAAAATCCGATGTTTTATATTACCCCAGTAAAATAAATATTGTAAAATACTTATCATACTCTAATTAATTAAAAGCAAAAGTTACAGTTTGCAAAATTCAAAAGTGTATTACAGAGGGAATTTACTGACTTGTTTCCACTTCTATTACCGGTGGAAATCAAGAGATTTAAGGTCAAAGACCAGACGTTCTGTAATTTATGGGATATTCCAGCGCTTCACAGCAGTGACAAACTTCAGTGTATATTCTTCAGGGTATAAAAAAGTTCCATTATTAGGTTTTTATCCCACCTTCTTAGCGCGCCATCATGGTTTAGTGGTCTGAGCGCGTATTAGAGAGGTCCGCGGTTCGATTCCTGGCGAAGGCGTTGCTCATTTTTTATCTTGCCTGCTTCCAAAAATACCTAATGTCTGTAACCATACTCTGCACATTTTCTCCCAATGAATATTCTCCATATGGTAATGAAAATGTGTTTATAGGATCAAAAATGTATTCAATAAAACATAATTATATTTCTTAGATATTTGTTTCAGAAGGCTCGCGATATACACAAAAACATCAAATTTATAAAACAATTTATTAATTACATCTCCATTTTGCGCTTGAAAAGTGGACAGTGAAATTTTAAAAAGTGATAGAATTTTAAATGAGCAACTCTGAAGACTTTGAAACCTAAGTTGCATGAGCAACCTAAGTATCATACGTTTGCATAATGGTTTCCATGTTTGTTAAAACAACATTCATTAGTAAATTAGTAGCTGACTCTTGAGAGTTTTTATTAATCATACGCATGAAAAGGAACATAAAGTTTTGTATTTAACCTATTAGAGTATATTAAGTATCTTGCTAAATGCATTTGCTATACAGGTCTTATTAAAAGTCAGCTTTTATTTTGAATGTACCCTCTCATTCACATTATTGCAATTGTTCTCATAAAATATGAAGCCTTATTTTGAGAAACTTCTAGTTGCAAATATAGAGTCAATATTAAGGAATTAAGGAAATAAAGTTAGTAGCCAGCTTTTTTCGAACACTTTCTAAATTTTCATCCTTAATAAATTTAGCATTTTGGCATTAGAAACATTCTTATCGGAATCTTTGCAAAGTTTTAGACCGTTACGTTACGTTAGACTACCAAATATATCATTCACTCGCGTTGACAAGCGTTATCGTTGCACGTAACTAATCAGATCGTTAATTTATCTTCCACATAACTTCATAGCCGGGTACAAGAGTGTTGTCCTTCAGTGAAACGTACGATATTTAATTTATCTTTCTGATTTAATCAATATGCAATTCATTAACGAAGAACGAGATTTAGAGGCGATAAATGCCTTTTTTTAGTAACTTAAGTCTGTTTCATTCCTTCGATTAAAAATGCATTAATAAATTAAATTGCTGGTAAAGTATAAAGCAAGATTTTGTATTAAATACATACGAATGATATAACAATTACAGTAATGCTGCAAGTATTTTAATTTATATCAATTAAAAAACTATAATTAAAATACAAATTGAACATCTAAATAATTAAGAAATACCTTCTTGTATTCTACAAAACGGCAAAACTCTGAGAACTGGTCAGTTGCGACACCACGAGGAATATAAATTTTATACCTTATGTTTTGTGTAGTGACAGTACTTTTCCAAGCCGAATGAATGATATATTCCTGTTAGTGCAATCTAGAATAATGATCCACATATTTTGAAAATTCTGTCTGGGCTAATCTTGGTAAAAGTCATTTACACAAGCTCCATGCAAAATATAATTTTAAGCTAGATTATTAATTGCCAAGGGTATTATTTAAGAAATGCATTATTCGTGAAGAATATAATATTACCACAATCGTGAAGTTCTTAAATAAAATCTCATAGAAATTCAATAATAATATTAAGAAAATAAAAAATCTTATTTCCATCCTTGATTTTGATGGAAAATTAACTAGCAACAAGAAAAGACCTTAAGCAGCGCTTAGAAATTTGTTACAAATAAACTACAATCGCTTAGCAAGTTAGAGAACGTTTCATCTATTTCTATAATCAAGCAGGAGTTCGTTCAGTCCGTATCTGAGAGAGGGACGGAGAACTTAAGCACAATACCGGGTTTCTGTTTGTGTTGAGACTCACCAGTGGATAGAAACCGTTGAGTGCTGGGAATTCGACCTAGGTCCGAGCTCAGGCGAAAGAGCTGGTTGTATGGTTAGGTTTCGTGGCTTTCCTCATGCATAAATGTGAATTCGAGCCATTTTTCCTTAGGACGTCCTTCACGAAGGCATCCCTCTAGACTTCGTATGCTTTGCCATGCTTATGAAACCTAACTTGATCTTCTTTTTGCATAGTCTCATATTATTTAGTTAGATATCTGTTTCTTTGCTATTAATTTAGGTCATAATCAATTTTTCTCCTTGATAAACACAATCTCCATTAATTTCCATTCAACGTATTATTTTTTGGCCATTTCTTTTAAATTGAATATGGTTTGAAAAAAGCTTTTCCCGATTCTCTCCACTCTTACAGGAGAACTTTGTTCTAATCAGCTTTTCTTCGCTCTGCCAATCAACTTCTTGGTTTCTCGATGCAAGGAGGATATTCATCTGTGCTATTTTGCAGCAAAGATGAAGAGTTCGATCATATCATATACCAGAACTCCATTCACCGAGCCTTTTCGACTATATCGCGTTCAATATACCTACTGCTATCATGGTACAGGACATTTGAAATGCTATTCAACTGCTAGACAAGTGATTCACATTTACAGCAGAATAGGAAAGTCTGCTTTGGAGCCCATTTTATGAATTTGTTTTAGTTTTAAGAAATAAACATTTGAGAAAGACTGGACTAAAAACATTTCTAATATCATTATCTATCTGATAAATTTTATGAAGACTTGCAACTTCTTAGTTACTAAACGATGCTTCTAATGCCATCTGCTATGTACCTGGCACAAAATTATTAAATCTTATTTGTTTATTTTTTCCGCTCTGTTAAATTCTTTGCAGCTTGTATAGAACTTTCTTCTTCCTCATCGCATGCCATTGTGGTGTAACTGGAAACATATCCGAATAGTAATTTCGGGATATCCGTTGTTCGAATCCGGCGAAGACATCGCCGGGTTTTCGTATTTTGTGCTTCGAAACAAAAGTTTAGCTGATTAACATTGTTGAAAACGATATTTTATTACAGCATATGTAATGATGCTATCTACACTGCCCTCCAAAAGTTAAGGAACAGCATGTTTTTTGTGGTTAATTTGAGAACGAAGCAACACAGAAACAAGAAATTTAGGAGACATGTTCACTTAACAGTTCTTTAATGAATGTGACATAGAATATTTTTTTAAGTTTAGCGCAAATACAAATTACAACAAAGCACTGCAGCCTTGGCAGAGAAATCCAGTTTTGGAGAAACTGTGCATTACAGTTTTGTGAGGAAAAATGTGGTGATAGCATTACAAAATTAGGGTCTGAAGAGGAATGTGTCCATCCATAGTTGCATTAAAATGGAGGCAGCGACGTTCCATGCTGTCAATTAAATTGTCGGTCAGTGAAATGTAAGCAACGACCAGACGCGGAGTAATTCTTGTTCAAGCTCATATAACAACCTTGGAGGAGAACTCAAAGCAGCAACCTGTCTCCGAAGGTAGTCTTAAATATGCTCTATCGGATTCCGGTCTGGGGATTGAATTGATAATTCCAGCGACTCCATATCATCAAGATAGTCTTCAGCAATCCGAGCCTCGCTATGGTCGCGCATTGTCGCATTGTCGTCCATCAGAAGAAATCCAGGACCAATAGCAGTGGCATATGGGTGGACATATTGATCAAGGATCTCGTCTCGATATCTTACACCGGTCAAAGTTCCTCCATGGAACACATGTAGATCAGTATGATGAACGACAGAGATCCTAGCCCAAGCCATTGTTTCACAACCTCTGTAGGTGTGTCTTTCCACAATGTGGGATGGGTGGTATCTGGTACATTGTTTTCTCTAGATCATCTGACGACCTGAATCACTCTCCAGTGTGAACCTGAACTCACCTGTGCAGAGAACAGACGTCCATTGTTGACTGGTCCAGGAGATGTGTTCTCTTACACAACATAAACGGGCACCGCTGTATCCTCGGGTCAAGGGGATACAAACAACTGGTTTGTCTTGCATACAGACCTGTATTGTGCAGACGTCTGCGCACTGTAGTAGCTGAGATTTTTACTCCTGTTGCAACTACTTGATATGGCACGAGCTGAGGAATTGTAATGTTGTTCCTCCTTCGGGTCGAAATAGCTATATAACACTCTCCCGGAAGTGCTTAACAATTGGTCTGCCTGGAACATGTCTTCTAGGCACAGAAGCTTCGGATTAAAACTGATTCCATAGTCTGTGGACCACACTACGAGAGACATTGAGACGTCTAGCAGGATCAGTTTGTGACAACCCCATTTTCATCCATTCGATCGCCGCCACCTCAGCGAATCCGGCAAAGGACTTCTATTGGAAACTGATAGACTCTCCTGGCTATTGTCAACGGAATTTCTAATAACAATTGAAGATCAACACACGCGAACAAAATTTAAAATTTTTGCATTTTTTCTCCAACTCCTATATAAGCATTCATTTCAGTAAAATAGTAGAGGTAGTTATTGTTTTTGCATATATTTTCTTAAACTTCATTACTATCATGGATATAAACTGTTAATTTAAATGTTTTTGACATTTTTGTATGGTGAGCTTTGAAAAACATGAAGTTCCTTAACTTTTGGAGGGCAGGGTATTTTGTACGAATTATTCTATTCGTAGTTTTCGCTTTCTTCTATTTTAGGGCTTAGATGTTTACGATCTAACTAACATCATTTGAATGTTGATGTTTTATATTCCTTGTTAAAAATTCCATTTTTCTTCAAGTACTCTAATTTTTCATTCAGTGTTTAAAGAAAACAAATATAAAACATAAGTTGTATTTAAAATTGTTTTCCATTGAAGCATGTTAAAAGAATGAGGTTTAAACTTGCGCTGCGTATCATTCCAGGATGAATCCAGTAATAGGTGGTACTGGTCGGCAATTAGAAACGGATGTGGTGATTTCTGGGTACCAGGTTCCTGCTGGGGTAATGTTTCTTTTCATATTTCACAACAAGAAAAGTATTTTTCTTTTCATATTTCATAATAATAAGAATATTTAAATATAAAATATTAATGTTTTAAATCTAACTTTATTATATATAAGGGAAACTCGGAATTAAATTGTAGCTCATGAATTCTATGACGTTTTATTTTCATACTGATTAATTTTTAAACTTTTAAATTTAATATTCACGATAGCACTGAACATGATATTTTATCATACTGCATGTGTTTTTGATGTCAAATACCGTATATGTGGCAATAAGTTTACGACATTTCATGCATGGCTTTTATAAAAGGATTTCAAAATCTTTGTGCTTCATTCCTCGCTAATGTCTGGAATCTCAACGATATCGTTGCTGCTGATCATGATATACTAGCACGTATGCAGAACGAAACGAATTGTCACATAGATGTCTGTCATATCAACAAAGATTAACATTTTATGAAATTCGTAAGTTTCTATTTTAGCAAAATAAAAGTTAGTATCGGTTCCGAAGTTTATTTTTTATGAATTCTTAGACTGTTTTATTAAATTATAAATAAGACTGTATTATTAAAGACGTCTCAAATGAGGTTAGAAACATTATTTTTCTTAAAAACTTTCCAGGAAACAAGAAACTGTCGCATGCTAGTGGCGTTTATACTCGAAATATACGGGAAACCAGCATATACGCCTCTAGTTCTGAAATTTCCTTAAGGGTTTCTTGGGCACTACATGAAAACTGGCTCCCGTATATCTGGATTCAGAAGCGGTAGACCTCCAACAACCACTAGAAGGGAGAGCGTGTCTTATGACGAGATGCGAATATGGTATTTTTGTAAACCTTCAGGGATATGGAATTTATGTTGCAACTTGTATCACGATGAATGATTGGTAATATGTTACATAATATAACCTATTCTTCGTACAAGCGTAAGTGGTAACCGTGTTCACTTGAGTTCAACAAAAGGAGCGTTTTGCATGAAGTTCACTCGTCCTGTTCTGAAATTGAATGAGGGATTTATTCTGATTAATTGATCTTCCAAACTTTTGTGAAATATTGAATGTAAAATCATAAAACCAACCGAATGAATAATGCTACCAAATTATGTATAGAAAAAAGTTTAATTTTCCAATTCTGGGCTGTTTGAGTGTTCTGGTACCTGGATTCGCTTTCCTATGATGGGACTATATAACCGCTTGCCATTTAATTGCAAGTTCACACTGAGGGTCTTAATTTCTATGCCAGTATTTACCTTCGCTAAACTGTAGTACAAATGTTGGACTCCAGTTGAGATTCGATTGGAATCTTGTCTAGAATCAACAGCAGATCTTTAAGAAAGAGGCGAAAAATTGCGAGTAACGAGAAAGCATTAGAACATCAGCGTCCCAAGAGAATTAATCATACTATTCGATGGCAATATTCAAGCGAGTTACTGATGTTTACACGGTGTGCTTGCAAAGTTTTAGGCGTAATATGTTTTAACAAATTGCTGCAAACCTGTCAAATGATAACTGGCAACAATTATTAGTGTGACACATGAATTTGCTTCCATGTCTTTCTACTTATGGACAAAATTTTCTTTGCATTTATTTGTTTGCTTTGATCCAGCGAACATCTAAGGAATAGCAATAAAATTTTGCTGTAACGCAAGAAACCCAGCACCGGACATATCTGAAAATGTCTCAAGCATATAGGAATAAAATATTAATACTATTCAATGCTTTTCGTTGGTAAGGATAATTTCGCAATGGATGCGAAGATGCTGATGATAAACCTAGAAGAGGCTGCCATTCGCTATTAAGAATAGACGAAAATATAAAAACGTTGGTCAAATACTGCTGAAAATTGGCAACCTGTTTCTTTGAATGATAGCTGTTGGACGTAAGATCATTAAAGACGCTGTTCAAATTGCATTCTCGTCAAGAAGTTGAAGAAAAGAATGTGTCGCAAGTTTCTGCCCCTTCCCTTTTTCATCTTATTTGAGACTTGCAGTCATTGTTATTATTACTGCAGAATACTTATTATTTGTAGGTCATTATTTTAATAGCATTGAAGTGATATGGAAAAACCAGGGATTTAAACAGTGTTCCAAAAAACCGTTTTTAGGAAAAAAATTAACATGCCAAGCTTTGGACTCAAAGGTCTGTATATCGATGAAGGCTGTAAAATAAGAATGTTGTTTTTTCAACTTTCAGTTTTGTACGATCTTCATCTTAAAGCGAAATAAATGATTTCATAAATTTGCAGATGAAGAATAACATTAATTGATAGTATTATATTACAATGCAAGCTTAAATCATTGCTTTCTTGTTCGATAAGAGTGTAACGTTTTAATACATTTATTTTTAATAATCATTGCGATATTTATGCGTATTTATCTATAAGCCATAGATCAAATGCAATATTTTTTGTAAAATACAATTTTATACAAACTCGAATAAATATATGTTTTGTAATGTTTATGACAACGGTACACCGAATGCGTACAAATTTACTGCCATGGTGAATGTAAATTCACGATGTTTAAGATGAAATTTTTTAAAAATTACTTGCAATTTTCTAGATGAATCAAAATTAAAATTTCTGAACTTCAGTTTTAGCACAATATTTGTGTTTTTAAAACGGTTTTGTTTATTTCAATATTCACAGAATATTCAGCAAGATTATTTAATATTGACTGTTATTATTGGTAAATTTCGTCTTGGAATTTTGTTAAAAAGCAAACTACTGTGACAAAATTAAATTAAAAATTATTTTGTTATGCTGAGATCTGGCTTCAGGGTTAACTCTAAATCTTGTACGATTCCATGATAATATAGATAAGTAATTGGGAGTATGAGGTTTCAGACGGCGGTAGGAAGATAAAAGATCTTTTCGCTTTCTGAAGAGAGACTGAAAGAGAATGCCTTCTGTTGCCTTAATGAGTAAAGCATTTTCGAGTCGCAGGGTACGGTTGGAGAGGAATGTACGTGTGTTTGAAATAAAAGACTTCTTTACGCAGGAATTATCAAAAAGCCTAAAGAGAAAGCTGAGTAATTAACAAATACGTTGTATAAAGTTAGTGATAGCGTAACTTTGGGAGAAAGGCTTAACTTGGAACAGGGCACCATTTTAAATGGCTCTTGGACTGTAAAGAAAAAAAAGACAGATTTACCTACTAGACTATTTATTGTTTTGAGAAACGTTGTATCGGGCCGTAAAGATGTGTCGAGAAGTGTAGAATTGGACAAGTTTTAGAATTAACCTTGAAGCCAAATTTCTACGTAATTTCTTTTTCAGACGCTTATCGCCGTCTCTTTCCAAGAAGTCTACAGAGATGAAAAATATTTCAAAAACCCCGAATCTTTTCATCCTGAGAGATGGCTAGAAAGAGAAGACAAGCATTATCGCTATGCCTTCGTGCCTTTCGGTTTTGGAACTCGCAGCTGCATTGGTAGAAGACTCGCAGAACTAGAAGTCATTTGTATCATCGTAGAGGTAAATAAATCTTAATTTAGAGATGCCATACACACCTTTATTGAATAAATGGACTGACACAGTGTGATATATTTGTTACCATCATGTAGAAGCATCGTAGTTATTTGACAAATATTAAATCGTCGTGCAAACATTCAGGGACTCATTCTCTAGGGGCTTGTGACAGTATACTGGCGTCTCATGAGATGTTTTTCTAGGACGCAGTGGAATTTCTTTCCCTGAGAGGTTTCAAGAATGGCTTCAAGCATATCTCTGGACCACTGATAATTTTTCACCCAATCCAGAGGACAATTAAGATAACTTCTTAGGACAAAAAAAGCTGATAAGCAGTTAGGCTTGTGCGTACTCTTGTGGTGTAATGGTTAGCACATTCAGGTAGGGAATAGAATATCCGTGGTGCGATTGCGAGCAAGAGTGGAGTTGGTTTTTCTCTTTTCTCTATCCTAAAAAATCTTATAATATCTACAGGACAAGAAGAACTGGGTGGGACACCAGAATTATGCCAATAGTTGTATAGGTGCAGTCGCACTGCACTAGCTGCGTAGCTGAGCTCCAAATTTGAAGGAAAGCACTCAGGCAATGGTCTCAAAGCTATTTCATCATTGTTTCCTTACTGGAAATGACTTTTCGGCTGGCCATTATTTAAATGCCCCCTTACAGACAGTATACGTTTATAAATATCCATTTCTTCTCCGAGATTCGAACGAGCTCATCGATGAGGCAATAGCACACCACTAACCATTATATCGATTAGGACCGAATTTAGTGGCTTATGGCAAGGCTTGTTTTGCGTGACGTCACTGTCTCCTAGTCTAGAAGAAACCACTCCCTTTTTTTATCTTTGTTTCTCCTACCTGTATAAGTAACTGACGTCAGCATTGTGAATATCCTAACTTCACTTGTCTACTGACTGACCTTGGCTCCAGAACTAAACGAATTACCGCATTTAGCCGACTTATTCTCGTGTCTTTCTTTGCACCTGTTATCAACTGGCGGACAGAAATAATAGTCCTATAGTGACACATGATCGCTGGGGTATAATGATAGTATACAATTCTACATTCACGACAACAAGAAGCACCTCACGTTTCTTACATCTGCTCAATGAAAGTGTACTTTTCTTCCCTGTAGTATGGATTGGTTGTCATTCTTTTAACTGCATTATTTCTATTATGAAGTTCTTTAGTTTAATATATTTAATATAATCTGGCGTACAAAATCCTACCTTAGGTGTCCTCCCCATAACTCCCAAACGCCCACGTCCGCGTCTTCTCCTATGTTTGTACTGTATTTTGAACCAATTTGTATACTGATCATTTTTCGTTTATGAAGGGCTTAAAAGTGAAATACGAATAAATTTCTTTGTAAAAACGACCAGATAAAGTGAGCTGAACACATTTCAGTTAATTTAATGGAAATCGGTTTTTGGAAAGAGGGCAAGCTTTTATAGAATTATTGTAATGTGCATGGTTTATATTCAGGTTTCAATCATAATAATAATTTAGTTTTAGTAGGGATTTACGCAAAGATATTTTGAAGTATTGACGGTAAGATATTTTGAAGTTCATTCTTTCTGATGGATGTGCACGTGTGCATATCAAAACAAGAGCTACACACTGTTCATGGCACTCGTTCGATGATCTATAAAATTGAAATTTGTTTTCCTGATAGGCGTCATTCATTTCGACCTTGCTATTCAGAACAATCAACCACATTACCAGGGGAAATGATCGTATCTACAAACCACAAGAATATGAAATTGATGAGGAAGCCAAACTCCCCTCCCCCCCCCACACACAGAAAAGGGATAGTTTAATATAATACGAGTAGGCACTGGTCAAATACTTTCTATGCAAAGTCATTTGAATCAGATGAAAACTATGGCGTGCATTTCAGAAAAGAAGAGATCTCAAGATATCGTTATGCCGCAATTTATAATCTGTAACTGACGTGTAAATCAGCATATATAAGTCAAGGTATCTCCTTTCATATGCGGTTTCAGACAAGATGCTTATACCCCAAGAAAAACTTGCAGCACTCTGCCGGACAAATCAGCATTTATTGAAGGAAAGCGTTCAGTTAAGGAAAAGAAGGTCTCTACTGTTTAGAAGTACATTTAATACATACCGGCCTAGCCTACAGACTTTTACAATGACATCATTCAATGGCCGACAACGGAAACAGAAAGCAACGAGGAGAACGGCGACGAAGAAAATTAAAGTTTTAATTACTATGGGGAATATATTTTTACTTATTGTTTATTATTACATTTTAGCAGCTTCTTAATACTTTCAGACTTATTTATGTAATAAAATAAAATTTGTTTTTTAATGCTGTTACATTTTAAATTTTTTTACTATTTTATGTTTTAGAATAGATAGATTGTACCTAATTAGCTTAACAATATTTTTCTAAATTTACATTAACTTAGCGTGAGACATTTGTTTTCATAAGCGGCAACAAACTTCAATAACACAATTCCCCCCTCCCCTATTTTGTGCCCAGTCTGGGAAGGAAAATTTTCGCAAGTTGTGAAAAGAGGCTATGCATCAATTTATTAAAATTTTGTGCGAGCGGCCATGGATAACTAAATCGTTTAAAAACCGCTGAATTACATGGATTATAGTTATATCAATTTCATAACTTTTTTGTTGTTGACTTTTGACATTCTTGTGAGGAACGGAATAGTTCTTTGTTGCTCCTGTTTAATTTGACTTTTGTCACTTAATCCCTTTTTACATCTACCCTACTAACCTTATAAGGTATTTCTCCCACCTTAGCGATCCTACGTGGTGTAGCAGTCTGCATTCTCAGCGCGTAATTGAGAGGTCCGTGGTTCGATTTCCCGCGAAGGCGTTGCTAATTTTTCATCTTGCGTACTTCCAAAAAATACCTAATGTCTATACAGTGGCGCCCGAACTAAAAGGGTGTTGCATGATGACTCTCCTCACCCAGGATTTGGCGACTGGGTCCCCTAAAAACCTTAGTCGCCCTTTAAAAAGGGGGAGTATATAAGATATTTCTTCCGCCTTCTTAGTGAGCCTTCGTGGTATAGTGGTCTGCACTCTCAGCGCGTAATTGAGAGATCCGTGGTTTGATTCCCGCCGAAGGCGCTACTAATTTTTCATCTTGCCAGCTTCCAAAAAATACCTAATGTCTCTACAACCTGACGGTCCGAAAAATACTTGTTAAAACTTCTGATTCGGAATTTTTTACAAACAGTATCCCTAAATGCCGATGTTTATTAGCGTAGCTTTTTGCTTCTTTTTTTTACTGAAGAGATTTCTAGAACAAAAAGCATGAACCAATCTTATTAACTATAAAGCTGAAATATTTTTAGAGGCTTTAAAAATATCGTTACAGATTGCAATGAGGAATGTTATGTTTGTTTTGTAAAGATAGTTTTACTTATGAATTTCTGTAGCCTTACGGCAAAAGTTGCTATCAATTAACATGGCACTCATTTACATGTTTAGTGTATGGTGCAATGGCAAAAACAAAGATTTCATTATTTTTCAGTGTTGTAATGTTCAGTTGTAGCTACAGAAGATTCCAATGTATAATATATTTTTTAAAAAATTTTCTTTGCAGATATTGCGGAATTTTAAAGTGGAGTACCATCATGAAGATATTGATATACGGGTCAGAATGATCAATATTCCAGACAGACCAATAAGGATAAATTTTGTAGAGCGATGATAAAGGTTCACCAAGAGATCAAGTAGAAGAACTTTACATTTAGATAACTACCTTATTTAAACCAATGCTTAATTTCAACTAATGGCTAATGGAACTCCATTACAGCATTGCTTAATTTTTAAATTGATGTCATAAAATTTGCTTGGCAGAACGCAGCCGTTGGTTCAGACGATTTTTGGTATTCTCTACTCACTATTCGAATAATTTAATGTCTGATAATTGCATATTGTATAAAATGTCTGGGATTTCTTAATCACAGAAATATGTTTTAACAGAAAATGCAATTCGTTCAACAACATTTTTTAACAATATCACTGGATTAAATAATAATAATAAAGCAATAAAAATTTTAAATAAAGTAGTGATGAGGAAAATTTGATGGGGTTAGATTAAATAGTCTTCAAACTGTAAATGAATATAATATAAATTTCGATCATTGAAACATACTCATTAAATTCAGCAATATTATTAACTAATTTTAGATTCCATATAAAATTTGAAGCAAATTTTAATCTTCAATTAATATAAAAATAAACATTTATCCTAACATACTCACATGAACAGTGATCGTTAAAAGAAATCAATTGATGTTTAAAAAAATTGTTCTGTTTCCTCTGTATTGGATGGTTTTTTAGACTGTTTACTTGTTTTTATACATTTTAATTTATTGATCAATATTTTATTAAAAAAATTTTGCATTTTAATCCAATGTCATATTATTCTGATTAATATTTCGTTTCATTATCATTTTTCTAGAATAGGTTTCTAAAACAAGTTTGGCCGTCTGCGGGAGGTAGTCGCCACGAGATAGAGTTCACTTTGTAAGCAAAGAAAATTGATTTAACTCAAATCGTGCGTAATTACCGAAAACATTAATGACTACATTTTTTAATGGTTAACTTAAATTAAAATTAAAAATTAATAACATTTTTTAATGGTCGACTCAAAAATTTGCAAGAAAGTCAAAATTATACTTCTATATAGCATTTTGTGTTTCTTCAATTTCACTACCTGTTGGAAACAGCTGCATAGGTACACTAATAGCCTGGTTATTGCTGTGTCCTAAGCTCAGAAGACTCCATAAAAGTGGACTGTTTGTACGTCCGCCAGTACGCTGTGTCTGTAACAACTATATCCTCGATTAGTCTGTTTTTCTAAATGCAGTTAATTAAAAACTGTAATATTTACTTAACTATTTACAAGCATGTGTAATAGTTTTCTTTCCTGCCTTGCATTCTGATTTTCATCATGGCCTCTAAATGCTTGCCCTAATCGTCGTAATAACTTTATAGTAGATATAATTCTTTTCAAAACTTTTTTTCTTTGCAATAAATCAAAATCGATCCTATTTGATATATTTTCTTAAAATAATTAATGAACGTATTTCAGTCGTATGCTAATAACGCTAGCCTTAGGATTTTCGTGCCTAATAACCCAAGTCTTTATGCAATATACCTCATTCTGAGTGGAACTGTTTTGATTAATGCTGGCGAACTGTAAATTGTAATAGTGTTCTCTTTTTCTAATATAGCGGAATTTTGGGTTTCGTTATAGAGAACAATGATAATTATTAACTATAAACTGCTATAAATTTCTATTTCACAATAATATGATTTTTCTGATTATGGAAATGCATGGAAGCCCTCATGCTTTGTGGTGTATTTTGGTACATCTTACAGTATGACCATTCTTTTGATAATATATTATTATAAGAAATATAATTGAAACTAAAGTCAGGAGAGAGTAGCAACGCAACACAAGGAGTCTCTCTTGCCCTTTGGTGGCCTCAAAAACTCGTCATTCCACCTCATAAATTCATAGGTGTTGCTTGCATTTTTAAAACGCTCCTATGTTTAACTGCGATTAGCGGTTTTTTTTTTTTAAATAGACTGTATTGCGTTAATTTATTTAATTGCAATTGCCTAAAGCTTGCGTACGGTCTTCTTCGTTTGATGTGTATTGCACGTGCTCATATGTATGGCTGCATCCGCATTCTAAAAGCGTGAATAGTATTTTTACATCTTTCAACTTCCTAAGAGATTGTGACAAAATAACATTCCGGACTTTAAAGCCCCGCAACAGGAAGCACAACGGCCTTTACAGCACACATGAAACTGAGACCATATGTCAACTCTTTTGAGAGAAAATTAGTAAGTGAAATTTGAAATTAAATTCAGTTAGTCATAGTTTTATTTGGTTAAAAAATTGTGGTCAGTCAGCTGCTGGTCGTGAATTCAGTCCGCATGCAGTTTGAATTTGAGACCACTTCACTACTTAGCGGTCGCAGCAGGTAACTGTTGTAAAACTCCCCATTTCTATTATTTAAGGCGTGAGGAAGATTTAATTTTTTACTTTGATTCTACTTATTTTTTTATATTTTATTTCATCAATTTTTATTTATTATAATTTCTTAGTGCAATCGGAGCCTCTGTAAAGTACAGACGAAGACATTTAAGGCTCTCCGCGTAGCACAGATTCCGAACCCGCTGTTTAGGTAGAAGTAGTAGTAGATTTTTGGAGCAAAATCTTGCAGATTATATGCGTGGAACACATGTCTGGCACTTTCCAACACACTAAGTAAAAGCACATTTGTCAGATAAATACATGCTTAAAACAACAGCAAAAAATCATAGGAACTGCTAAGATTATAAATGCTGAGATGAAACATTTTAATAAACTAACATAATGATATATAAAAAATGAAGTAAAATTAGTAACATGATATTCATTAACAAATATATGTTATTAAAATAACCGTACAACATGAAAATAAGATTAAATTACGTAACAGAAACCGCTGTGTAGGAATAGTGATGTAATTTTGCTGCTACAGTCTGTCTCATTGCAATTCCCTCTGGCTGGAATTACGTTTTCTCTCAAAAACTGAAAAATAATTGAGCAAGATTTGGTTGAATTTATACATTGCAATTAGTAAGAAGAACCTCCAAAGTTTCAGTATGTGATGTTACGTCATTTGTGATAAGATCGCTCGAACTGCGATCTCTTAACAATCAACAAAATGAAGTCTTTGTGGCCTGCACGTGCTGCCATCTATTGGCTATAAAGTGAAACAGCGAATTTATTTCCAGGAAAGTGGATATAAAGTAAGATGAATACACGGAAATTTCAATTAATATTAGAAGCATAAATCCGTTACATTTTATTGTTAGATCAAAATAGAAATCATTTGTTTGAATCTAGTACTGATGCTTTAGATTTCGACTTGGGTGTTTTTACATGCCTCCTAAAGAAACTTGTTTCATCCTGCTAGCATACTGCTGCCAAGGCAGTAAGGAATATATTCTATCTATCGTAGCTTTATCAAATGACTGTAACAGCGTATACGATTCATAAATTCAGAATCATGATTGCTAAAATCAGTACTGAATCTTTGACTGATGCATCAACTTCAAGTAGAACTGAATTCCAGATGATGTATTGCTTATAATTCACCGCATTTGTTCTGGAATACCTACACCCGAAGGAAATAAAACGAACTCTTCGCAAGAAAAGACGATCCACGGTTTCTGACGATTTTATGCGTTTATGCAACCTTAGAGCAGCTGTTTCCAAACTGTGCCCCGCGGAGTTCTCCGCGGCTGCTCCAGGAAAATAAAATAAATAAAAACTATACTTGATATTAAAGATTTAGAAATAGAAAATAAAATCAAAATGGAAAAAAGAAACTAGAAATTATACTCTGAACGGGAATTTGCAAAACACAATTTCTCATTTCCTCTAGCAGCCAATCCGTCGTTTAGTAGATGCACGATGTTATCTCGTTGTTTATAACGTGAAACACATAAAAACAAACGTTTTGAATGCCATAACACTTTCTCCATCGTCTCGTTGGAATCGTAAGTCGTTGAAATCATCAGTTGCACGACTGTTGCGACCGCCTTAATCTGTATAATAGTTAGCTGTACAAGTCTACCGCATCACATTAGGCCTAGGTTAGAATCCTGGACAGTTGTGGATGCTTTTAAGTGTGTAGTGTCTGTACAGCATGAAGGCACTTAAATACTGGTCAGCCGAAAGTCCTGTCGAGTGGTTTGGTGGGTGAAAAAGAAGGGTGCGTAAGTCTGGGACCATTCCCTGGTGTGATTTCGTTCATTACTCGGGTGGAACTTTACCGGTATAACGACTAATGGTGCAATTTTAAGTGACTCACCCATTTTTACTTACACCTGTTGCCTGTTGCGCTAGAATTCGAAGTCTTTTGTAAGATAATATTTGATCTGATTTATATTTCTTTTATTTCGACTAATTTGACATTTTCTCATGGATAAATCAAATATAAGATGTATATTTTAACAAATATTTAACATTTTGTACACAATAATAAAATGTTTGAATTATAGTGTACTTTTATCTGTGCTTTTGAAACGTTTTTTCATAAACAGTGAGAACAAAGAAAAATTAAATTTTTTCGATTAGTTTACACATCTGATTGAGATATAGATTGAGTACTTTTCATCACATGATAAAAACAAATATTTGTCACAGAAATGGCACATTTAAATTTTTTCACCATACAGCTGAGCATTTTATTTTTGTGCGGGAAAGCATTAACTTACTCAAAAGAATTGGAAAAACATTGTTTAATCATAAAGTGGATATTCGATGGCTTTTTAATTAATTTAATCAAAAGTGGGTATTCGCTGACTCTAATCTTACTCATAATAGTCCTTACAAGTAAGTATTCCATGGATCCGAAACCAGTTATATAGCCGTGTTTATTATAACTAATGTACACTGACGGGGGGGGGAGGAAGGGGCAGTCCTTATGTCTCCCGTTCTACTGGGCCGATTCACGACATTCAAATTGCGCTTTTCATGTCTCGAAAGCGCGACTTAAGATATGTATGAGATTTATATATATAGCATTGTTCATATATAGGTATTTTGACACAAAATCGGTCTTTTTCTGAAATGACATGCCAATTGTTTTCCATATTTCGATTCTACTACTCAAATTATGCCAAACTCCCAAGTTTTGTAAAAATCGCACGAGTAGTTTTTAAAAAATTAGCTCTCAAAATTTTAGCTCCTCAATGTTAATTCAATTTTGTATGTATTTAATAATATATCTTTCTTTTTTAATGAAACGTATTTGATTCTTTCCTACGCAGTTCGAAATTTAGGTTCATTCCAAATAAAATTCATTCATTTTTTATGATTGGTTTTTAAATAATTTTTATAAATTTTTCGAAAAAAGTTTGAATTATAACCAATAAAATTTTTACAATCATCTTAAAGTAGATGTATTTCTAAGCATACCTGCAAAAAATTAGAGCTTTTTTTTTAAATTTTCGAAGATAATACGTGAATTTATATTATGGCGCTTTTTGAAATTTGGTGTATTTGTTAAAAGAGATAATAACGAAAATGTGGTTTACGCTTTTTGTCAAAATTATTTGAAAGTAGGAACGAGTGACTTTTTTCCGCTCCTGCACAATGGAAGGGAAAGGAAAATAGGTTGCCATATATTAAGAAGTTCGCCAAGTGAATTAATCTTGGCGCAAACTGAAAAAATTGCGCCAAGATAAATTTTTGAATTTCTCCATAAATTTCACACAAAATTTTACAAAATTTAATATTGAGGCATAATTTGAGTCGTCGAATTGATGTATGAAAAAAAAAAAAAAAAAAAAAAAATGGTATGTTATTTCAGAAAAAGTATTTTCCAAAATACCTGTATTAGAACAAAGCTATATATAAATCTAATATATATTTTAAGTCCTAATTTCTTATTTTAAACAAAAATACATCATAAGAATTATCGTCTGATTTTGGAAATTATTACTTGTTTAAACAAAATATATTAACAGTTCCATATCTGAAGTGAACATGGAAAGGTGCTAAAAACCGAGGATAAGTTGCATTAGAAATTTAATTAGTCACCATTTTAATGACAGTAAAATGATTTAAAATGTTAAAAAAAAAAAAAAAACATTAATTGTAAAGTGATCAACTATTTTTGATTTATGATGGAAACTGCGTGAAACTGTTGAAAGTGCTCCGAAGTCTGGACTACATTTCAAGCTAACACCATTGAATCGGAGATTTATCCTCTAAAAAAATCATGTAACAAAGAAACAAACTCTTTTAATACATATTTAAAACAAAACTAAATTGTCAGTTAGGTTAAAGAAATATTTCAAGATGTATGGGAAATATTTCAGAATCTATATAGTCCATTTCATCTAAAGTTATTTTTGCATTTTTTTCCCTTAGGGTAACAATAAATTTCAGACAAGGAAAAGGACGGGAATCGAACCACGGACCTCTGGAATACCGGGCCCAGCGTGCAGAACCACGAAGGGACGCTAGAAAAGGGGGAGAAGTACCTTATATACTTCTCTTTTTTAAAGGACGACTGGGGTTTTTAGGGGATCCAATCGCCAAATCCTGGGTGCGGAGAATCCTCATCCAACACCCTTTTAGTACGGGCGCAACTGTAGAGACATTAGTAAATTGGAAAACCCGGAGAGATGAAAAATTAGCAAAAGCTTTCGCCGGGAATCGAACCACAGACCTCTGGAATACCGGTTCAGCGTGCAAAACCACTACACTACGTAGGCATGCTAGGAAAGTGGGAAAAATAAAATACCTTATATACTCATGTCCATAAATTAAGGATAATTCGGAGTCACGCGGAAATCAAACTCTAAAATAAATATATCATCTGTAAAATCACACACACATCTCAAGAATCATATGCAAATTCAGAAAGTAATCAGATGATACCGTTTACGTCACAATGACGAGGTGTAAGAGAGTGATTATAAGGAATACAGGCAAAGAAGTAAATTGTCGCAGGCGCTTTATAAGCATTTCAGTGCAATACCGAATAGTTATGACACAAATGACGCATTTGGATGATTTTTTACGTGGTAGAATTCGGCCGTGTGGAATGGGCGGACCCAACTGGAAGTACTGACGAACTTGAAATTGCCCATTCTCTCCAGGCTTGGCAACAATTCCAATGATGGTGATGTGTAGACTTTCAGCACAGGTCGCCCCAAGTTTCAACGCCGAATGAGAACCGGTATTTGGCAGTTACTCCAAAAGAACAGGCGGAGCACAGCCTCAACCTGTCTGTCAGCTCTCTTCCCCGGTGACAATTTCAATGCAGACTGTATAAGCCGCTTAGGGCAATTGGTCATATGCTCTTAGACTCCAGATGCGTTCCACTTACTACAACTCACGTCACTGCGGGTAGCCTGGAGTAAGAGCATGCATTGTGACAACCGCAAATGGGCTTGTGTGATGTTTTCGCGAGTCCAGTTTAGCTTGCAGTCTGATTCTCGCCGGACTTCATAGAGAGCCAGGTACCGTTACCCCCAAGAAAACATCACTGAAGACACCGTTACGGTGGTGCAGGATGCTCGTTTGGGTGAATTATCTGGGTTCCAGAGCTGACCTGCATGCTCAAATGGAACCATGACAGCCAACTATCGGACGTCATTCGGAATACGTGTATGTTTGTTTCGGGGCGCCATGGGCGCACATTTGTGTTGGGATGACAACGCTCGTCCTCACCGTGCAAACCTCGTTAGCGAATGCGTTCAATGGAGGATATCACCCTATGGATGGCCAGATTCTCACCGGACTGAACCAGGCATCCGTGTGGGCAGCTTGGCGACGAGTTGCAGCGTCAACCTCCTCCTACATGTCTGTGGAGACATGTTTTAGTGTGTAATATCCCCAAGTCAATCGATAATTGATATCACATCTAGCGTTGTACGGGTGTCGCCGTCTGGCGACATACAGTTAACAATCATACCAATATTAATTTGGTTTTTGTAATAGGGTTTTTGTATTTGCTCCAGGAGAAAAAATCGCTATTTTTTTAAAATCAAAATATATTTTTTTTGCTCTTTACTTTGCTTTTGTTAATAAATAAGATTCAAAGTCAATTTGTTTGTTCTAACTTCCTTGCCTGATTCCATATCCTTAATAATGGATGATATAATTTACCTTTTAAGGGATGGGGTTTAGGGGACCCTATCGCCAATCTGGGCGTGGAGATCTCACAACACGCTTTTAGTTCGGGTCACTGTAGAGACATTAGGTTATATTTGGTAGCAGGAAAGATGAAAAATTAGCAACGGCCTTCGCCGGGAATCGAACCACGGACGTCTGGAATACCGGCCCAGCGTGCAGAACCACTACACTACACAGGCATGCTAGGAAAGTGGGAGAAATACCTTATAATTTGATTATGAGAGAGAGTGCATGTTTACTTCATCCGAAAACGTAAATCACACTGACAGGAGCTACTAAGAATAAAAATAAAAATAGAAAAAACCTCTGTCATAAATTACCACTGAATAAAAATTCAAGCCTGTCTTGTAAAGCGAAGCAAAATAATAGAGTTTTGTTTCGCGAAACTCGTTGATGACAGTCGAATTGTATACGTAAGAAATAAAACAATTGTCAAAGAAATATGGAACGAATATTAGAAAATTCGCGAAAGAAAAAAAATTTCTCCAGCAGACTTTATCTTCTCAGAGAACCGTATATGTTAAAAGCAGAAAATGAATACCAGCTAGAAGGACACACCAGGTACAGAGACAGGGAAAAGTGTACGGGGTGCATATTTCACAAATGTACATCTAATGTAGCCACCGAGGGAGTGGCTTCTAGGATGGACCAATGAGCGTCCAGTAATATTCGTCAGTCACTGACTTTCGCGTGCTTTCGATTTAAGCAAGATGGTGAAAATGCGCATGCAATTTGTCAAATAATTAAACATCGTCGATACTTCTGAAACTTTTCATGCGAGTTAAATCAATTATAGGAAATTATGAGATTTCATACTGGTTGAATATAACCAAAATGTTGGATACTTCGCAAAAATCAATGTGAAATATTACTTAAGTGAAAACCTGAGCCCAAATGCAATCTACTAAACTATGCCTATGAGAAAAATATTTATTCAATGATGTAAATATAAGTCAGCACTTTATGGCATTCTGTATGAAAAAGAGTCTACATAATACCAATGAGAACTTTATCAAAGTAATTTTACTAATTGCATTCGTATACATTTAGGTGTTAAATTTCCAAATACTGCTCACTTAAATATACTGTCTACCAAAGGAAATACTCATTAAACAGGTGGTTCTAGTAAAAGTATTCAATTCAATAATTTTAGTAACACGGATATAATCATAGATATCAAAAGCAAAGAATGCAAGCAAGAAAAGAAAAATCTCGATTATGCCATTCTCAGTCATTCAGGTAAAAAAAAATACACTTGAATTATCTTAGCCACTAAAGCCGGCCATCAATCCTAATTTATGCGTGATAAAATCGCAAGTGAAATGTACAAATCAGAACACGCAAGTATTACGCTT